ACCACTACCACTACCTCTGCCAGTACATGGAGGGCAGCTGCATCAGGTCCATTAAGTCTCACGTGTGCAGAGATCAGCAGCCTGATATCAAAAGTCAGGAGTAGTAGCAATTACTTTTTTCGGTTGGTTCAGATTACGTAGAGTTCTCAAGTCTGGACTTGTACTGTAGTATTTAGGGTTTAGTGCTAGGGTTTATGGTTGACTCCAGAAATGAGGACTAGAGGGATATACTTAATTACACACATTCTTGCCCCCCAATGTCCTGGCATCGATTGCCGAATGATATCCTTCAGCGTCGCTATTTGAGGCTTCCTGAGATACGAAATGCGCGTGATCATGTACCTGCTAAATCTTGCGGAGCAGTGTAATGCAGTTAAGGAGCTTGCTACCACTGGACCGGCGCGCAAGGTACAGGGCATGCACAGCCATACTTCTCATAATCCCGGCTTCACCTTGCGCCCAATCCTGGGCCAAGACTGCACACTTGCGATCATCCATATCATGAAGAACTCAATTTTGAAAAACTGACTACATGATCATATTCAGATTAGATACTTTGATAATCTTGGCTTTCGTGGCAGCAGGCCAAATAGCATATCTCTTCGAAATCGCGATCAATGTTGCCTGCAGGACGGAACTCCATGGCGGTTACATTTATCAACTTAATACGCGCGGGCCTTGTGGCAGGAGAACAACGGAACAGCAGCCCCAAACGTTGCCACATATTCGGCGAGGAACGCGAACTCTTGCTCGCACTGGCAGAAAAAGAGCAGCTGAATGCATCACTGGGAACACTCAATATGCGCTTTAAATAAAAGACCAGGCACCATGTTGGCCGACGCTGGCCCCTCTTCAGGCACCTCAAAGAGATTCTTTGCCTGAGTTTGACAGAAAATGTTTGGACAAACTCTCAGGACAACCCCTTTGAGCTTGAACATGATCATGCGAGAAGCTATGCTGTATGATTTGCATGCCTGGCTGCCTTGCTTTTGCGAATCTTGGGCAAGCGGTTGGGGTCCGCCGTCACCCAAGAATTGACAAGGTCCTGCATGATCAGGGAGCACACGATTACGTAATGATGCTGCTGTGTACACGCCTGTCCTCCAAAAGGAATCTGTTTTGTATGTGGAGCTGCGAGCTCATGATGCTGGATGCCTCCTTAGCTGGCAAAAAGTTAGCACATCTACCATATACTACACTGAAACTTAGTGTGCCCCTGCAAATCTTTGCAATCTAGTGGCAGAACCCAAACGAAGCGGGGCCAATCAAGGAGGCCACACAAAAAACTGAAACAGCTGCATGGATTCATCTAAGCATTCACGGAATTCAAACGAAAAACTCACCAAAATGAGCACATGGCAGGGGGAGAGGGCACCACATTCAAAGTCTTCGTGTTGCCGTTCTGGCGAGGGAGATCGATCTCCCGATGTCTGCAGAAAGCCATACCGCCCTTGCATGCTGACCAGGGAACGTCAAGCTGTCTATGCCGATTTAATGGCATGCAGAAGAACAACTAAGCATTGGGCTCTTTGCAATCGCGCCGCGCATTCCATTCTTTGGTGCCAGGCAGGCACATGTACGATCATTCAGTTGCAAATATGCCCGTGCTGTTGATATACCCTATAATGAGGCCCATTCTATTCTTGGATCTGTGCCACTTAGCATCCTAAACTACTGTGTTTTCTAGGATCTCAAGAATATCTACAAGCTCCATGAACCTGTCGTATGAGGAATCCTCATGGTCATGCCTTCCATCCAGTTTTTGAGCAGCTGCATGTCTCTGCAGCCATGGGTTTTCCCACAGAAACCAATACAACATCCCTTTATTTCCGATCCACCCCATTACATTCCGATAAAAACCGTGGATTTCCGATAGAAACAATAGATTTCCGATAAAAAACCCGGAATTCCGTAAATGCACACAAATTTTGTGTGCATATTAATGACGGCCCCTCAGGCCCGCAAACCTATGTACGCAACATTTGCTAACATGGAGCCCCAGGG